GGGAGGAGGGTAGAGAGAATAGTGCAACAATGAATGAATGGAAACCCAAAATCTCTGTAAATGTTTATGAAAATTAATAAAATATAGAAAAAAAAATCAGAGTCAGAAAGGAATCTATATCTGAGGGTGAAGATGATGAGTGTGCTTAGTCTGAAGTGAACTTTGTTAGTGTTAGGTAGGCGATTTTAGACATGAAAAGAGCTTGGAAGTTACTAGCACATGGATAAACACATAAGTGTGAATGGAGGCACCTGTGGAAAAAACTGCAGACACTGAACAAAGAGGCAGGTCAAGGACAGAGCCTGAAGGAGCTCCCTTAAATAAGGGCTGGAGAAAGGAGGCTAAAACTGCAGAGGATGCAAAGCTGTCTGGCTGAGGGAGCCAGAGGAGGAGAATGCTTATGAAGCATGAGGAGACCACCAGTGTATAAGGACAGAGGAAGTAAGATAAGTGAGTGATAAATCCTAGGAGATTTGACATTCAATTGATGTGTGGTGACATCATTGATCTAGATAACAAGAAATTTTTTTTTCAGCCTAAATTAAAAGGGATCTAGGATGACAGAGCTCTGGGGCCCCAGAGGCAAGAAGCTGCACTGCAATTCCAAAGGCACACAGTTCAAGTCCCCCATTATTTGCAGAAGAATGGACAGTCTCCTCCCTTGTGATTGATTGTCTCTGAAAACCTGCTGGAGAGACAGGAGGGGCAGCAATGGGTTGGTTCTGACTCTGTGGTACACACAACAACAGGATAATGGAAGAAAAATCCATGCCTTTTGAGTTGTGGTGTCGCAAAAGAATGCTGCATATTTCATGGATTGTCAAAAAGACAAATATATCTTGGAGAAGGTGCAGCCAGGGTACTCCTTGAAGATAAGGATGATGAAACTCTGTTTCACATTCTTTGGGCATGCTATTAGGTGAGGCTAGTCTTTGGAAAAGGACATTCATGCTTGGAAAGGTGGAAAGTCAGCAAAGACCTTCAACAGAGTGACTGTTAAGGTGAGCTTGAGCATGTCAGAGATGACCAGAGTAACACAGGTTAGGGTTCAGACCCATTGTTCACAGTGTGGCTATTAGTCAGAGTCAACTTACGACAAGGACTCTGAGTCATATAATCCCAGATAGCCTTTCCTTTGTCCTCTGCTGTTCCACAAGCTCTAGTCCAAGCCTCCCTTTCCTATCATTTTAACAACTTATATCCCATGACCAACAGCAGGACAATTTTCACTGACCTTTGTTTCTTAGTCTCACCTTAGAAGGACATTTTGCCTTTTCTTCCTTAACTTTTGGCCTGATTCAGGCTTTATAAGGATTATCCTGGGATCAAAAAGATTAACCGGGTGGCATGTTCAATATCAACAACACAAATACAAACATAATTACATAAGATGTCCATGTCTATCAGGAGACATGAATGTCAAATAATCAAAACTAAAAGGGTGGACTGTTTATCATCCAGGGGTATTGTGTAATAGATGTAGACAGTAACATAGGAGTCTAAAATAGCATTTATTCTGGAAAACAAATTTAAAGAGATGTTAGACACAGATTCTCCCAATGTTCCTGTAATAAGCATGTCTGTAGATAAACAAGATTATTGGTCAACTGTACAAAAGAAAAACAAGAAAAAAAGCATCTGTGTGGAGGAAAGAAAATATATTTCCTTAAGAGAAGAATTTCATTGAAATGAACTTTCAAAATAAGATCACAAATGTTCCTCTTCAAGAAAAACTAAAGTAGTAACCAATTATTTCCGTTTTCCTAATCAAACACAGAAAGAAAAAATTACTTTTATTTCTATAAAATACTACTTTATAATGAAAATTCAACTAAAACATCAGTAAAGCTAAGAAGGTTATATAGTTTTCATATTTCTATGAAGAAAGAAAAATAAAGTTACCCTTGATTTAGGTAACGAAGTCATATTTCAATCAAGACATGGAGTCTGAGAAGAAAGAATATCTAGGAGCCTGGTGAGGATCTGGCTAAAGAATTGGCTGCTGATTAAAAAGGCAGCTGGTTAGAATCCACCAGCTGTTGCTTAGGTAAAAGATGAGGGAGTTTGTTTTCATTAAGATTTATAGACTTGGAAACCCTACGAGAGTTTTACTCTGAGCAGCAGGGTTGCTATGATTTGTAACCAAGTACAAAGTTTTGGATATCCAGGACTAATCATTCATTAGAAGTAAAAAGAAGACAAGTAGATGAAGCTGAGGACCCCACAGGCACAGTCTCTTTATTGTGGGAACTAATCATAGATGTTGTCTGTGGGGCTGCTGAAGCCAGCTCCCCAGGAACTCAAGGTTTCTATTACCAGTGGATAGAAAAATTAAAGGAATATTACCTTAGTTGTATAGGAACATAATGAAAGGAACAAGACACCAAGAATGTAGTTTTCGGATTTAAGATACCAGTTTGAACTCTCTAAGAAGGCAATTAACCAACTATAGTGGGTACCGTGGGATGACTATAATAGCCTATCACGTTTAAAGTTAGTATCCCTTTTTCATTGCTCATCTGTAACTGGTTATCCTTCTATTATCTCGAAACTTCATTCTAAGCTCATTTATGCTTTCATTATGTTTGTTTTTGATGGTCTATTTGACTGGTTTTGTTTTATTGTATATATTATCCTTTTAAGTTTTGTTGTTATTGATGTTTTTATCTGTGAAGCAGAAAGCTTTGGGCTATGATTTCAGATTGGATAATAATCCTAGCTCTTAGACAGAGAGCTCAGACTTCTTTGCCTGTGATAACCTTCCGAATTTACTATATTAATTCCATGTTTCCTTCCCAAACAGGAAGCCTGGCTCGAAGTTGAACTATTTGTAGACACAAAGGCTAGAGTTCTCTCAACACTCTATTGTCACCACTTTCAGAATTGACATCACTTGCGGACATGGTGTGAGGTGAAATATCACTGTTAACGGGGGGGGAAAAATTCTCTTTCTTTCAAAATATTCACCCTGTCTGGCAAGAAGGTCAAGATAATTCCTCTTGCTCCGAGGAGTTTTCACTGTGACTGAGTTTTCACTGGGTGGCTTTCAGAAAACAGCTAGGCCTCTCTTATTCTGCTGTAGCCTGGCTCTGCCGGCATCTGAAATATCAGTGGTGTTCTACGGCAAGTAGTACAGGACCAGGCAAAGTAGAGGTACAGGTGACTTGATGGCAACTAATAACATGAGAGGTTTATCTCTGCACTTATATACTAATTCTCCTATTTACAGCTAAAGTACATCAAGAGTTGGTGAGGATGGCACTGGATATGAAAGGGCAGGGATCAGATTTGTTGTTCATAGGGTTGCTATGGTTTGTAGCTGACTCAACAGCACACAACAACAACAATATATTATTTACGCCATAATTGGAGTAAAAATGAGCCTCTACTACATGGGCTTGTGATGAGGACTAAATGAAGATATTTAAAGTGTCTAATGAAATGCGTACCATGCAGCAAGCAGTTGGCAAATGTCAGCTCTTATGATTGATTGTTAGAAAGAAGGGCTAAACATTAACTATTGCAAAATAAAATCTCGGCTGCTGGTAGATAGTCTTCAACATTTAAACTGCCAATAAAAAAATTATTCCAAACGCAGGATGATTTGCGGAGTTACTTTATTTTCTGCAGTGAGTTACGCCTGGGGGGCACATCAGAAGGCAGTGATGCGGAGTGCTGTACTGTGAGGGTGCATGCATGCAGTTTTTAAATGCTGGAAAGGGATAAAAAGAGCAGTAGAGGTTAGTGGATGGAGATATAAGGTGAAGGGAAAAGCAAGGCACAGTGAATATGAAATAAGACATTGTAATAAATTGCATTCATCAATTATAATTGTTATAAAAAACCATGAATGATTCAATGGAAATCAATGAAAAAATGTTTTCTAATACATGGTGTTACAGGTTGGCTGAGTCCCTCAAAAGATATTTTGGTCTTAAATTCTGGTACCTGTGAATGTGATATTATTTGGAAATAGTAGTTTTGCAGACATAATTAATTCACAAGAATGTGGTGCAATAGGCTTCCTATTCTAAATGGCTTTCCTCTTGCCTTTGACTTTAGTCACATGGCTAGATGGAAAGATGCTAATACTACTAATGAGGGGATTGGTGAGTTTAACCAGGCAACTAGACTCAAACTGAGCAGGGCTGGAGCCAGCAGATAGGAATCTCACTACCAACATGAAAAAAGAAGCAATGCAGTGGTCATCTTTTGGGTCAAGGAGTCCTACGCCAGATGGAGACAGACTGAGATAGAGACACTGTAGCAGCAATAGCAGCAGTAGCAGCAGCAGAGAACCCAGGGACCAATGTGAGATAGAGCTGACCTAGGACTGATGCCCTACAGAGCCAGAGCCAGGGCCCTTTGCCCAAGCTTGCTAGAGAACTAGGGTTAGGGAAGGGAGAGAAAAGTCATAACTGACATTTCTAAAAGCATACACCCACCTAAAGCTGAGAGACTGTCAAAGCACCTGTGGGATTGCATGAGCTCTTTTGACTGAAATTTGTGTCTTGTTTCTAATCTGGATTGTAACCTAATAACTTCCCTAACAAGTCTCATAACCATGAGTATGTTTCCGTGAGTTCTGAGTGGTCATTGCAACAAAATATGGACCAAACAACAGAGCATTAAGAGTATTGGAGGAAATATTTGGTGTTAGAATTGATTAAATTGGTGTGGGAGTGGTGGAGGCTTGTCTGATCTCATGAGAAAAGGTTTCTTGCTGTGGATGTTACGGATGGAGGCTGTCCTCGACTTGTGGCATTAGCAGAGGTCAGAGTCAGCAACCCCAACACTGCCTATCCTCTTTACAAGCAATCATAATGGAGAAGCTTTAACATACTACGACTACTGTCCTTATAAAAGAAGTTAAGAGACACAGCACACAGATAAAAAAGCAAGCTATGTGAAGACAAAGGCAAAAATGCCTGGGACCACTAGAAGCTAGAAGAGACAAGAAAAGATTTTTATTTAAGTCTTTAGGAAGCGTTAGTCCTGTCTAAAAGTTTTCCAGCCTCTATAAATATTTATGGGTCAATAATTGGTGTTTTTTTTGTTTTATTTATTTAAAATTTAGGTTGTTTATTTTTCATTTCAATGAACATCTACAGAGATTTTGGAATTCCATTCATTCGTTGTTGCACCCTTCTCCCCGCACAAGCACAAACCCCTCCCCCCCATTTGCTCCTCTCCTTGAAAAGCAAAAGAAAAACTCCCTCATTGGTACACAATCCCCCCCCCCGCACCTCCCCAAACCCCACCCCCTAGCCCCAAATATAATCCACTCTACAACCCTCATTGCATACTCCTACGAGAAAAATAATGCCCTAATGGGGGAGAGAATAGTCTAAAAGAAATAATTGGTGTTTTTAAAGCCATTCAGCATCTGCTTTACAGAAGTCCTAGAAAATTAGTAGAGAATTGAGGTGCTACTGTAACCAATACATTAAAATGTTTAAGTGTCTTTGGGATAGGGTAAACAGTGTAGGCTACAGGAGTTTTGAGGTATGTAATAGAAAAAGTCTGGATTGCCTTGAAGAAATGGTTGATAGAAATATAAACATCAAAGGCTCTTTTGGTGAGGACTCAGAGTGGAACAATGAACTTGTAATCGGGTGCTCAAAGTAATTTTGGTTATAAAGTGGCAAGAGACTTTGGCTGAGTTATATAATTTATTGAAAATAGAACTTGCAAGTTATTAATCTGGATGTTCAGTTGAAGAGGTGCTTAGGCAAAGAATGGAAGGTGGTACCTGGCTTCTTTTTGCTCCTTATAGTAAAATGTGAGCAGAAAGTGATAAAAGGAAGAAGGAACTTTCAAGTAAATAGGAACCAGAGATTGAATATTTGAAAAAAATAGCAGCTTATTCATAATGAAAAAAGAGAGAATGCTCTGCAGAGACCAAAGATGGATGAAACTTTTGTCAGAGAAATTAGGCATGTAACTTAGGGATCAATCAACTATCTTACAAAAAATACAGCCAGCCAGTATTGAAGGTGAGAGGGATGGGACAAAAAGAAGGAAAGCTATCATAATTTTTAGGTTTATACTCAGAGACACAGGTCAATAAGCTCTCTAGCTGTTAACATGTGCTAGCCTTCATGACAAGGGGTAATGGCTCAGAGGCTGGTGGAGTTACTATTGTCACTATGAACCCACTGGGTAGGGACCTAGGAATGGCTTAGCACCTCCCTGGTTCCAGAGGAAGGAACTGCTGCGAAGGGTCTGCTGCACAGGGCTAAGACCTGAGCTATGGAGATTTCTTGAGAGAGTGAGGCTCCCGCACAGGGGAATGTTGACAGGCCTAGAGTATAGCATTTCACCATAGAGAATTATATCCAATATCTTAAAATAATGAATTTTGCCCTACTTGGAAAATACTCTTCCCTTCATTTTTTTTTTTTCAAATTTGGAAGGAGCTTCTCTCCTAAGCCTTTCCCACCATTACATTTAGAAGCTATGAACTTATTTTTGAGGGTTCACAGATCGAGATGAATTGTGCCGCAGGATGGATCATGTACTCAGAATCTCATCTTTACCAGATTTGGAAGATACGATTTAGCACCTATTAGGGTAGAATATGATACTTTTAGACTCAGCTGATGTTAGAATGGATAAAAACTTTTGGAAAGACAAACAAAGGAGCCTAAACAAAACTGTTATTGAATGGACTACAGTTAAGGAAACCCTATGGAACACTTCTATCTGTAACACGGGGCATTGTACTGAGCTGAAATGGATTGTGATACACTTTTTATTTTTACTAAGATTTCAATGTGAGATACTTTCTCGTAGGAATCTTGCTTTAATGACTCATAGTTCTAGGTCATTGTCTCTATCAATATAATTTAAAAAAAGATTAGGCTGCTGAACGAAATTAAGGGCAAATAAAAAAAAATGTTGTGGCAGCACATTGCTAACTGAAAGACTGATGATGGCTTGAGCCCATCCACTGGCTTCCTCAAGACAAAGGCCTGACAACTGTACTACTCTTACAAAGATAACAGCTTAGAAAGCCCCGAGGCTTTCTACTCTGTCATCTAAGGTAAATATGAGTTGAATTTCACTCAATGACACATAATAATTTTTGAAATTCCGTGTACTCACGATGAGGAAAACTAGGGGAAAATGCTGACAGATTAGCCTAAAGAATTTCTACTCAATTCTGAGTAAAATCTGGACACACCTCTCCCATTGGATGTCTTGTGTTTAAGCTTATTATTTGTAACTCTAGTGGGAAAAGTGCAGCCAGAGTGCTCCTTGGAGGCAAAGCTCTGGCTTTCTTACTTTGAACAGGTAAAGCTCTTGGTAAAGGATATCATGCTTGGAAAGAGGGAGGGGCAATGAAGGAATGGAAGGACCCCAATGAGATGGACTGACACAGTGACTTTAGCAATGGGCTCTGGTGTGCCAGACAAGGATGGCACAGGATAGCACAAGCTTCGGCTGTTCAAAGGCTTGCTATGAGTCATACGAGGCACTGTCAGTGTCATAGTGATCCTATGAATCTTGCCCTATCCTGAGCAAACCTTACTGTGTGACAAACCTGACTTCCTTGTAACAGTCACTATTATCAATCCATCTTATGTAAGGTCTTCCTCTCCTGCGCTAACCCCCTCTACCCTTCTAAGTAAGTTTTCCTTCTTAAAGGACTGTCATCTCCTGACAGCATAGACCCATCTTATGTTCAAGTGAGAGAGAACTATATCTACAATAATTTTTTTTTAAATTTTATTCTACCTAGGAGGAATTTTTTCCTTTCAGTCTTATTCTTACCTTACTAAGACCATCTTGGCTGCCAGTTGTGACACACAGATCCATTTGTCCTTGACTGGGCGAATAATGAACAGTTGGAGGATTATGTAAGCGTATCTGTAATTGTCTTAGCCATGTCAACAGTTCTGGAATTCTAAAACATAAAATGTATTTTTAAATTTATTGTAGTAAAGATTACAGTTGTAGCAAACAAGCAAGACATGGTTGCTTTATACTAGGCTCTTTATATATTCCATTTAAACTTTAAATACTTTTTGCCAGTGTTAACAGTCCTCTCTTTTCAAAATCAGGCAAAAGACTCACAGATATTAAAGATTTTACACAAAGTAATTTAGCCCTGAGACTGCATAAACTAGGATTTGAATCTACAATCTTATTCCAAAACCTGAACTCTTTGTTTTAAATGAAAACAATTCATTGCATGGGAACTCTGGTGACCTACTCCACAGGGTATTGCACTGCTAACCAAGAATGCACCTCGGTGGCACTTCAAATTCACCAAGTGGTGATGGAGAAAGACAGGTAGTCTCCTTCTGTGTGATTTACAGTCTCAACAAGACCAGTGAATGGTGGGTCAGCTGTTCCTAGTTAACGGCAATAAGCTGATGCACTGTATAATCAATTCTTTGATCTTCACAGAAAGATTTTCATGGTCTAGCTAATAAACTCAGGTCCAAAATACTCTTTGTATTATTCAGACAAAAATATATTTTGCACATCATTCCTCTGTACACGTGTATAAATATGTGCATCCATGTACAGATGCACACACACATTTAACACACTGCTGCTGAGTGGAATCTGACTCATAATGACCCTCCATCGGGTTTCACAGGCTGTAAAACTTTATGGAAGGACACTACCCATCTTTTTCTCTTGGAGCTACTGGTAGCTTCACACCACCAAACTTCTGGTTAGCAGCCTGATACATTTTGTATGATGTGTCATTCTCTCTCTATATGCTATTGTTAGATGTCACCAAGTATGACCAATGGTGACCCTATGAACAACAGATCTGAACTCTATCCTATGCCTTCCTCATTATCTCTGACATACTTGAGCCCACGGCTGCAGCGACTGAGTCAATTCACCTGGTTGAAAGTCTTCCTCTCTTTCACAGACCCTTCACCTCTCTTTCACCTTTCCACATACACATATATACAATTTACTGCTGCAGAGTCGATTTTGACTCAGTGTGATTTTTGACTCATAATGTCCCCACAGGATAGACTCAAACTGCCCCAAGGAGTTTCACGGCTGTAAATCTTGACAGAAATATACTGCCTTATCTTTTTGCCACTAAGCTGCTAGGAGGTTTGAACTGCCAACCTATAACATTTTAAAAATATATTCTTTTAGTCATAGAACAAAGGCTTTAATAGCTACTCCATAAAAATCTACTGTATTTTTAGAAGAACGATATTTTAACTGATGCCAGCAAAGTACTAGCCAAGGTAAATAATTACTAGAAAATTGCCTCTGGACTTAAAATTGCTGCTGCTACTTCCTGAGTCACCCTTCTCCTTCTTCCTAACTTGCTCTTTACTTTCTCTCCATTTTTTAAGGTTCAGCTCAAATGACACTTCCTTTCTAAAAAGCGATGACTGAGGAGAGTTAAAGAACATTCAGTATTCCTGTTGCTCTTTCACCCTTTGAAAGCTTTCTTTCCCAAGTCTTCCTAATTAATGAAAACTCAGTTAAAAGACTCAAGCCGCTCTATCCGTGTGTCTTAGTTCATGAAAATGGTCCAGCACAATCACGTCACCCATGGATAATTACCCCGCACTCTGAGAATACTGAAGAGCTCTCTTCATCTTCTCTTCTTCAAACTGGATGGGCTTTCCATTTTCGATGGTGATAGTAGCAGTCTTAAAAGGGAAGGTGTTGGGATTTGGTGCTCCAGCAGCCAAGGAGATGACTGTTTTTGGTGCCCTGGCCATGATTTCAGCTGCAAGTGATGCGGAAGACAGTCGTAAACAGAATCAGCTCACTGTGCATTATGATCAGTGACTCTTTTTACAACGTGAGCGATAGAAGAACGCCAGTCTGAAATACACATTCGGAATATCTGTTTCTCGGCCTATTTTGCTGGTAGAAGTATGAAGGCACAGAGGTGACAAGTAGAAAGGCTGTGAGACCAGGACGCTAAGCAAAGGGACAAAATAGTAACAAAAGGACCTCCTCGAATTGACCCACATCCCATCCATCCCCTTTACATCTATTGACCATACTCTCCCCTCTAGTATACTTACAAGGACTCTGTTGAATCCCCCCCTATTCATCTTCCCAAGAACAATCTTTCTCCACTTTACCCTCTCCTAGAAAGAAGTGTCCCACAGCAGCCTACACACCCCCTTCTCCACTACACTTCCCGCAGGAAAACACGTGGACTCGTCTCCCGCTCCAACTTGAATTCTTCAATTCCTGCACTGAAAGCCTGGCCTGCCGTGCACTCTGAGATGCGTGGAGGGGACCAAGCGGTGACTGACTGTAGGCATCATTCCCGAGACCCCGAAAGAAAGAAGGCCACCCACTCCTCTACTCACTCAGAGTTCGGATGACTGATGGTTCCCGGGCGCTGCTAGCAGCGGTGAGGAATCTTGTGTAGTTCATGTCTCTGATATCTAAGCACAGTTCCTTCTTCAACCTCTGAGTACTAGAAAAGTCGAGCAATCTGACCTTAGTCGGCCTCTGAACTCCAGGCTCTGAAGTCAACCCTTGCGAGTTGCTTGCTCGCCGGCTGGCTGCGTCTGGGTTTAGAGAGCAGGGCGGAGCCAAGTCTGTGAGAGGCCTGAGACTGTGCGCGATCTCAAGGGCCTCGCTGGGGCGCAGGACAAGAACTCTGCACGGATCCGCCGCGGCACCCACGCTGCTGACCCTAAGATGTAGGGCCTGCTCCCGCCACGCCGGCTTCACTTCGCCACCGTCCTCGCCACGCCCCTGCCCGCCCCGCGCTGCAGCCTATGGTCGCCCGCTGCGCCCGCGCCACCCCCTCGCCAGCGGGGCCCGCTGCGCGGCCACAATTTGAAAGAATTCAAAACAAGTAGGAGGACTCTTGACCTCGCAGCTGAGACACAGAGTCCTTGTTAGTTCAGGTGCTAGCCTCCTCGTAACTAAGGATTTTTGCCAGCCTAGCAGTGCATCGAGGCCCAGATGTCTATTTTTATCCTTATCCTTGGGTGCCATCTGCTGGTGCCATTGATGTGCTGTAGCCTTTAAAAGGAATTTGAGTACATCACAAGGAAAAAACAAAACAAAACAAAAAAAACCCCATCACAACTATAACCGATTAACCGATAAGGAGCTTCATGATAAAAGGAGCAAAGATTGAAGTTACCAATGATTTGATTTTCTTTGAGTCCAAAATCAACTCATGGAATCAGCAGTCAAGAAATAAAACCACAAGGATAACTATTGTATAAGATCATTATTGAAGAATGAGTATAAGGATCCAGGAAGGGTGGGAGAGGCTGGAAGCAGAGGGATGTGTGGGAAGAGGGGATTAATCATTGGGTTGTACAATTTGATGGGTGGAGGGGAGGTGGGGGAAGTTGAAAGAATTTGTATTAGAATTTTGTAAATTAATTAAAATGAAAAAAGTTAACTTGGGGAGGGGGACGGGGTAAAATGTGCAACCATAAATGAATGAAAAATCTAACTTTTCTGTAAACTTTGTTACAATAACAATTAAAATTAAAACATGTATTAAAAAAGAAACAAACTACTAAAGAAATTTTCTTGCTTTTAAAAAACCGATTTTTGAATATATATTTCCCCCCCCCCCAAGATCTAAAAATGTAACTCCTGTTAAAGCCTTTGGGCATATGTACAATTATAAATATAACATTAAAACACAAGTATACATCAGGGGAAAAAAGAAATAAAATCACAAATTGCATTGGGCAAATATGTTGCCAAAGACCTATTTCACGCGCAAAATAGGGAGAAAAGTGCAACAGTGAATGACTGGAAACCCTAAGTCTCTGTAAGCTTTCATTTAAATTAATAATAAAAAAAGTTGCCATTTTAAAGACTAAAGGCCTGAGGCCCAGCTCATGACATTTTCAATTGCTTTTATATGCGTGTGGAAGGTAGAAAATGAGTAACGAAGACCAAAGAAGAACGGGTACCTTTGACCTGTGGTATTGTGAAGAATACAGAATATAGCATTCAGAGCCAAAAGAAGAATAGCCTTGGAAGAAGTGTAACCAGGGTGTTCCTTATCGGTGAGCATGGTGACACTTTGTCTTACATGTCTGAAGCCTGCTATCAGGAAGGGTCAGTCTGTGGAAAATTACATGCTTGGAAAAAAATAGAGGACTGAGTTGAACCCAGCTCATATGACCCTACAGAGCCTAGTAGAACTGCCCCATTGAGTTGGCCTATTAGCAAGAAGCTGCGCTGTAATCCCAAAAGCACACCACTCTGTGGGAGGAGGATGGGCAATCTCCTCCCATGAGATCAACTGCCTCTGAAAACACGCCCAAGGGTAAGTACCATTGTAGCCACCCTATGAACGAAAAGACCTGAACACTTGTATAACTTTCATCGTTTCTCCAAGTTCATAGTGTTTCCAGAGGCAAGCTATTTCAGAAGTGGATCCCACTCTTGCTTCCAAGCTTGTTTTAATTGGGAAGCTCCACCAAACACTGGTCCACCATGGGTAACCATTTCACATTTGACACATCAATGTCACAGATATAACATGTGGACAGTGTAGTCTGAATCCACCAGATCCTCCGCAGGAGTAGGATGGGCAATATCCTTGCCTGCAATTTACTACCTCTGTAAACCTGCTGGAGGATCAGCTAACCCAGTGGAGCTCTAGCAAGATATTATTTAGCTTCCAGGTGTCTGGGGTGTGTGTGTGTGTGTGTGTGTGTGTGTGTGTGTGTGTGTGTGTGTGTGTTTTTCTGTTTTTTAATTTAAATGAAAATTTAGAGACTTAGTAGTGTTTCCAGTCATTCATTGTTCCACTTTTCTCCCTCCCCGGCACCCAAGTCACTCTGCTCTTTGAAAAGTAAAAGAAAAACTCTCTCATTGTTATGCAATCCCTCCCTCCAAGTTCACTCCACTGTGCAGCCTTCATTCTGGACTCCTGTCATGACAATAATAACTAATTATATATTCCTTTTGAACAGTTCTTCTCTCATCTGCTTCAATGCAGTATATATAATTTATTTCATCTTTCTTAGTCTCCCCTCAACCCTGATGTCAGTCCCATTTTACAACAATGGCCCTATGCAATATTCGTCTTTTTGTGACGGAGCTATTTCATTCACCATAATGTCCTCCAGGGTCATCCATTTTGTATATTTCATGAGTTCCTTGTTCTTCAATACAGCATAGTATTCCATTGTGTGACTATACCAGAGGTTCTCTATCCATTCATTTGTGTTTTTTTAATCCTCTTATTAAATTCTATCATTATGCCATTGTGGTCTGGGAAGGCAGTTTACATTATTTCAATGTTTTTTAATTTGTTGAGACTTGCTTTGTGTCCTAATACGTGGTCAGTATACACATGAGAAGAAAGTAAATGGAGTTTTTGTTGGGTAAATTATCCTGAATATGTCTATGTGTTTGCCTGATTGTATAGTTTAGTTCTTCTGTATCTTTGTTGAGTTTCTTTTTAACTGACCTGTCCTTTGATGACAGTGGCATATTGAAGTCTCCTACTATTGTGTTGTTGTCTGTTTCTTTTTTCAAGTCTGTTAACTTTTGTTTAATGTCTTTTTGTAGATTACGCATGTAGATGTTAACTAAGAATTTGCCCTCTTTTTCCATGGGGCTTAAATCCTTAAAAAGTGTCCTTCCTTATCTTTCATCCAGAAATCTTTTATCAGAGATTAATATTATCACTCTAGCATTCTTATGTATGACAATTGCTTGACATATTTGTCCACCCTTTGATTTTTAATCTGCCTTTTCTTTGTTTCTTAGATATCTTTGTTTTTTAAATTTGTGTCTTTTCTAGCAACATATTGATGGGTTTTAATTCGTTTAATCCATTCTGTTACTATTTTTCCCTTCGTGTGTTTAAGCCATTCATGTTGAGTGTGATTATTGATAGACTGTTTCATTGTTCCATTTTGCTGCATTCCTTTTTCTATTGCTCCTGCTTACTTTGGTCCATCCATTTTCCTCTGTTGTCTCTGTGAAGGCCTTCCTTAGTATTTCTTGTAGATTTGATCTTGTTTTCAAAAATTCCTTAGCTTCCTTCTTGTCTGCAAATGACCTAACTTCTCCTTCATATAGATGGACAGCTTTGCTGGTTATAGGATCCTTGGCTGGCAATTATTTTATTTCAGCCTTCTGTTTATCATCCCATTGTCTTGTACTCATGGCTTCCCTTAAGAAGTCAGAGCTTAATCTAATTGCTTCTCTTTTGTAGATAACTCTGTTTTTCTTGTTCAGCTTTTACTAGCGGATCCTTGTCTTTGATTTCAGAAAGTTTGACAATGATATACCTTGATGTTTTCCTTTTGGGACTCACTTGTTTTTCTTCTTGTATGTTTTCACTGAGATTTTTGTCTTCTAACTCCCTGATTCTCTGCTCTGTTCCATCTCTTCTAATCTGCCTTGTGGTTCCTCCATCACGTTGAGAATTTGTCATTTTAGTTTCGATATTCAAAGTTGTTTTTCCATGCTTTTCTGTTGTTTCTAGTAATTTGTTGGCTGTATCTTCTCTGTTTTGTGATGATTTCCCCCTATCTTTTTCTTCCGTTTTTAGGGCTTCAAATGTTTCTTCCAACATTTTGTAACTTTTTCAGTACCATTTTTTGGAACTCAGAGAACTCAGCGTATTTCTTCTGTTTTCCTGTTTTGGGGTATTCATTAAGTCCTTGATCTGGACTGCTCATCTAGGAGAAGGCTTGCTTTGTCTTTTTCACAGTGCTTGACCATGCTTGCTGCTTCCTCAACATAATGTGAAGTGGCTTGGAGTCGATTTTCCTCCCCTCAGTGCAAAAAAATCAAGATCTTCTACATGCTCAAGCCCATTGTTCAAGTCACAGTGTCAATCCATCTCATCAGCAGTCTTCCTCTCTTTCTCTGATCATACACCTTTTTTAGCACGATGTCTTTTTTCCCAAAGATGGACCCCCTTCTTGATTTTGAAACATGTAGTATCTCCTTGCTCTGTTCTGATGACTGCTTTTTGGTCCAAATATAGGTTTCGCATTAGCACAATCACAGGTTCTGGGATTCCTATTTTCTCAGAGTCAGCCATAGTGTGTTGTGATCCACACAGTCAAAAGCCTTTGCATAGTCAATGAAGCACAGATAGACATTCTTCTGGTATTCTCTTCTTTCTTCCAAGATCCATCTAACATGAGCTATATAATATCTCTAGTACCATGATATTAATTATTGTATCTTTTCCATGAGAAACCCAAAAATTTACACTGGTTTGACAGTGGTCAATTACACATTCCCACATGTTCCCTAATGTGCCTGTTCACCAGGAGCATGCCTCTCCCCATCCCTCTCTACTGGCTGGTGTTTTAAAGTTTGCCCTTTTCCAAATGGGAAATTTTATTTAAAATATAACTTTTTTGATTTTGTATTGATTAAATCAGTACTGCAGTATTGGATTAAAAAAGCCCAGCAAA